AAGCGTCGGCCGACTCGCGAACGATCCGGCAATATTCCAATTACGGAATAGCCGGTAATAAAATCGTCGGATCGAATTATCCGGCCTAGGATTTGTTTCCATTAACAGGTACAACCGCGAACAGCCGCCCTTATCCTTGAAGAAGCGAGGTTTTAATTAAGGTGGTAAGATTGAGGACGTAGAAGCGTGGAGGTGGAAGATGTTGGTGGATTTGGGGTATGTTTGAATGTAACAGTGGCCTTCAGAGTTTTTGACTGTTTTTTCTAACGGTTCAACTTTTGATTATTTTGCAGAAGAGGAAATTCAGTCTTTGTTAGATTTTTGCTTTGACCAGTTTTGTAATCGTCGATGGAAATATGAGGAATTGAATTCTGAAGGAAGGGAATTCTAGAAAGTTGAGGTGAAAATGTGTCTTCTGTCAGTTTATGGGTGTTTTTGCTGGATGATGTTTCTGTTTTTGGAATGAATTTAGCGATAGAAGGTTGAAGTCTTTGTGCAAAAGTCTTGGAATTCAAATACAAAGGAATGATACGAAAAAACTGTCCTACTGCGGAATGTAGTTCACGAATTTGTTGCTTTTGCGGGAAGTGCGGAGTAAAAATGTTGCACTTTAACTTAAGAAGAACTTGAAGAAAATCTGTTAAAACTAAGTACAAAGATTCTCACATCGTTCAAAACCAAAAACAGCAAAATAACGCTATGTTGGTAAATAAAATTATTTCTACTAAAACTTGAAAATCTCGTTCCAACATCCTGTGTCATTCGTGAACGACAAAAGCTATCCCATCAACTATCTGAACAAATGAAATTTTTGTCATTCAACTAACTGACCACAACTTAGAAGCAGTTCAAGCAAGAATTCCATCATGTTGATTCACTTAAAATGAAATGCCACGTTCGTTTTGTTTGGCGCTTAGATTCCTCGACAGTAACTTATCAAGAAGCGAATGAACTTCAACCCTCCGCACTCCAGCACACTTATGCAGTGAAACTTTCGAAAACCGAAAGTTTTCTGTCGAAAAGAAAAAATTCTAAACGTTCATGAATTTACTTATCCTTCTTTCTCTTGTTAATTTACATTATCTCAGTACTTATAACGCATATTTCGAATGTCGCCGTAGCGGCGCCAGTAGAGTGCAAAGCGTTAAGTTAACACGAAGAAACTCGGAACGTTTCACCACTCAACCAATCACACGAGCGATGAATTTTTAACAGAAGCGCAAGGATGATAGTCTGACCAACTGCAAAGAATCTACTCGATCGTCTTAAACGACAAAAGTTCACGATCCACCGGTTACCTTGCGACATTTTATGAAAAAAAGAATAGAAAAGAGGGAAAAGAGACAGTTCAAGGTGGGACGAGTGTGAAGTCAAAGATGAAAAAGCTCGAGCAAAGGATCATCATCCACGGATCATCGAGGCCAACGTTGACAAAGGACGGCTCGCAGCCCCTTTCGACAAGGTTCGTAGGTGCGTTGGCAGGGCCAATGAGCGTGTTACAGAGAGAGAACAGAGGGATGACACTCACCCAGTGCATGCCGGTGGTAGGAGGGGCGCGCTCCTCATACACTCCCATCAGGGTGGCTGCTGTCGCGGGGTAAGTCCCGCCGAGGGTGCGCGACGCCGAAGCTGCTTGGGGGGGAGTCCCGGGGGATCCGCTTGCCGATAACGCGGAGATGGCGTCCGCTGCGCAGGTTCTCTTCTTCTGCCTCCTCTTCTTCCGCCTCCACCAGCGTCAGCTCGCGAAAACCCTCACGTTAGCTCCCTCAACAATTTTTTCCACACTCAACGAACGTCACTTGGAACTTCGCGATTTCCTTTCAATTTCTGTACCCTCTTCTTCGATAATACAATAATACGTATGTACGTGAGAAGAAGCCTGGATCTATGATAGAACTGATCTTCGTCTAGCTGATCCAGAGGGTAACCCGCGCCCTCACGGGCACATCTCGCTGAAAAACAAGCACTCCGTGTACCCAGCAGCAAGTTCTGCTCTCCACGAATGAACTTGCTTATATATGAGTAGACGAACAGTACAGAAACACCGAATAGATCAGTCACGTTACGAAAGGAAGGACAGGAAAAGTTACACCCCTCACTGATATACACCAATCACTAGGTACGCGAATGATACGGAGGTTCATCGGCGCGGATCGCGGAATCCTGTCGCCGGATCCTTGGTTCCATCTCGTCCAGACCGAACCGTTCACAAAGCACTTCAGCCAGAGAGAAACGAACGAAGGCGAGAGACGAAGGCAACAAAACACCCGGCTAGTCCGCGCACCTGCACTCGAATACTACCACCGTCCTGGTGTGTCCTTGGAGCATTGACAGCGAATCGATCTCAGTCCGTGCTCCAACGAACGAGAGGAACCGGACGACAACGTCAGGCCCGTTTCATGGCGCATGTGCCTTCAATGTAGACGGTGGAACGAGACCGACGAACACGACAACGACGACGACGGCGACGACGGCGACGACGGCGACGAGGACACGTCGGGAGGAACGACGCCAGAAAACGAGGTACGCGCGAGCACGCTGCGCCACGGTAAATACAGGCCCGTCTGCCGAGCCGAAGCCGCGATGCGGAGTGAGGGAACCGGCACAGCTGCAACTGGTTCCAGCCAGAGGCAGCGCCGCATCGCGGTGGAACCGTGAAAACCGCCGCGTCACAAGGTAGGGCGGACACAGTTCCGCGAAGGACCGCCCACCGCCATCCCCACCACTGCTCGCGGTCGAACGACAGGCCACGCCCACTCACGGAACCCGCTGCTAGCTATCCTTGTCTAACACGTGCCGCTGTCTCGTCGATGCTCGTCCTACGAGAACCGCGACTACTCTTTGCTCCACGCCGCTGCTCCAGAGAACCGTCTGCGCGAGAGGACTGCGGTACGACCAGTGGCGTAGGCAGCGGCTTCGTAGAACGGAGGATTTAACGTTGTTGGATCGCGGACGGCCGCGTTCTTTGGCGTTTTGTTATGTCACCGCGGAACTGAATGCGCCGCGGCATCGAGGAGAACGGTGAGATGTTGCTTGGTGATCGAATAAATGTTTCCTTTTTCTTTTTTTTTCTTTTCCGGTGTAATTGTACGATTTTTTGTATGATAATTGTACATTGCAGGCAACGATAGAATTTGGGAAATACGAATTTTATTATTTAACGTTTTAACGAGATTCGTATGTTCGATAACGTTTCACTTTCATCAGAAGTGAATCTTCACTGTCGACAGGTTTATTAACCAAAAGGAAACCCAACGAGAATGAAACATCACGGGACACTTTAAATGACCGGAAACCTCGGACACCTCGTTTTCGCGTCAAAATTGAAAGCCTTCTGTCCGCACCGGGCCATTACCCTCGTTTTGCGCGCGTTTGGGGGGAAAAAGGAGCCTAACCGTTCGGCCAACGATCCGCTTCAACCATCTGGCATTTGCATGAACAACCAATTTGCACGTTGCCTCACGTCACGCGACGTCTTTTGCCCGCGACCACCGTTTAACCACGATTTTTTCTGTCACGAAAACTTCTGTATCCCGTGTAAGGGATGATGTCGAACGAAGGGGAGGTGAGGTTTGGTAAAGAAATTTCTGACGGATCTGAGAAATCAACGAAGCATCCAGCTGCATCTGACCACGCTTTCTGCGGTCTCCGCCGGGCCCTGAAGCTCTTTTTATTTCGCTCTCTGGAAAGTCGATTCGGCGGAACAGCGGCGGCCTTCATCTTTTTGCCACCGTGCCTTTGTATTTACACGACATTGTCCGTTCGCCGCTTCTTTTGGCCACGATTTTCTTGCCATTGCACAACAACCGTTGTCTCGCTCCGGTGTCCACGACACGCTCAACCTGGGCTTCTTTTGTTCCTCGATTAGACGGATTAATCGTGCACACTCGGTTAAGATTTCCATTTTCTTTTTTTAATATTAGCTGTAGAAAAGAATTCGCTGCTTTTGGTCAAACTTTGGATTCTTTTTTAATATTAAATGTAGGAAAGTGCTCGGTGTTTTTAATTTTTGGAGTCTTTAGAATGACTTTAAGCTGATGTCTTCTCGTTCTTCACGTCGTTTACAGTGTTGATATTCACTTCTTTAGAATAACGCGTCGTTTAACGTTTTGTTGATGAATTTAAAGCACGAATTGGAGAAAAGGACTTCGTTCACTGGTCAAGGAAGCCGTAAAGTCATCCTGTTGCATGACATCGCTTCAGATTGGGCTGAGAACTAAATAGAAAGATGGAGAAATGTCTTTGAAAACAACGGATCGCAACTTTCAATCTTTTTTTATAATGAAAATCGATTTTTGTTCAAAAATTAGCGATTTCATTGAACATGAAATTAAGTTTGAACTTATCCATTTTTGACATTCTCAAATACATTCCTAAGATGTCCTATTAGAGTTGTCTACTCTTAGCATATCACAGTAGCAAGGGAAATACAATCTTCGAAATACTTATCCGAATAATGTCAATTTTTATGATATCTAGTTGCGGTATTAAGATGGCAATACAGAGAACGAGGAATTACGAGTTGAATGTTAGAGATAATACGACGAGAATTTGCTGTAAATAGGTTATCCAAGAAACAGGTGTATAATGTTCATTGTAACATGTAGGTTAAGGATAATGTTTAAATAGAAAGCGAAAGAAAGTTAATTGTCCGTCTCAAAGCGCCGAATTTGGAGGAAGCGTGAAAGTCTCGCAGTCTGAGTGTGTCTTCGACTTCACCTTCGACCGCGAACCGGAAGTGGTGGTAACTTTTTGCGAGGACCAAGCGAAATCACGTAAATTGTTAAAAGGAACGTTTCATCGCTACGAACTTTGACGTTGAAGCAGTTAACGAACGTTTATTTTCAAGTTTCTAGTGTCATTCTCGACTCTGTAATAGCGCAATTCACCCAGTTTTCCAGTGGAACGCGATCAATTCACTTCACAAGTCTCGTAACCCCGATTTCACCCGAAAAACGGAGGACAGGGCAAAAAGGGTCCGGTTTTCATCGTTTTTCCTTGCGGCTTGAGCGTAACGCTTCCTTCCTTCTGTTCCCGGTGTTGCGTCTCCGTAAAAAAACGGCAGGTTTCAGTCAAGGAGCAAGCTGACACAGAGAGACTCCAAGGAAGCAGAGAGAAAGTGAGAGAGAGAAAGAGCGAGAGAAACAGAAAGAGAAGAAGAGAGAGAAAATGAAAAGAAGACAGAGAAAAAGAGGGGAAGAGAGGAGCAGCAAGAGAGAAAGATGAAGAGAGACAGAGAGATTGAGAGAAACAAAAATGGGACGAGCGACCAGCTGAAACCGAACGACGACCGTCCGTCCGATATTCCGTCATAAAGAGGAACCGGTTTCGTTTGCAACGTAGACGGAAACCGCCGCAGCCAGTGGTGGAATCCGCGAAAATGTCGTCGTCGATTTTTCCAATGTCCACTCGAATCTCCTGTGACAAAATTAGAATCGGGTATGTTCACGTAGGAACGAGTCATCGAGGAAAGGTTTGTCGCCTCTTACTTATTATTGTATATTTGAATATTGGTATTTCTGGATGTTACGATCGGTGATAGAAAACGGTAGCCGGCTGAAAGATGAAGAGAGTAATTCAAATTCTGTTTTATAGAATAGAATTCTCTTTCTCTGTTTTTTACGGTCGACACTGAAACGACCGATCGAAGTGAAGATTCTCTCGTGCACCATTGAAGCGGGCGACAGGACGGTGTTAAAGCTGCGAAGAATATGGGTTGGAAAATTGTGCCAATGTTGAATGTCGCAGCAGCACGACGTTTCTTAAATATTAATAGAACCGTCTAATGAGTCCTTCTCCTCGAAGCAGAGTGGTCAGCAGCTAGCTAGGAAGAACGAGTGTTTCTTAAACAGCTCGTTAAGCCTAGCAATCCAGCGAGTCGTGAAAATGCACGTAGCTATTTCCAGACTTTCCTCGTAGTGCACACTGTCAAACATCTCTTACGTCAAGAAATTTCGTGACCAGCTACTCTCTGCTACCCCGAAATGTCACTCCAAATTTCTCCGCTTTTCTGACAGATAATATATTACTAATATTAACGCTGTAAGAACTGATCGAGTCAAAATGACCTATTAGCAAGAAAATTTGACTCATTTTAAAAAATGACTTATTTCCCCCCCTAAAAAAGGTGAATTTTCGATTCTGATAAGTATCATTTCTAACTTTCTGTCTTGCTTTATTTCGAGACAAATCTTTCAATCAAAGTTAGCTAAAAATTCATTTTTCAAAAGATGCCAATGGGAGTCATTTTTCCTGCGTTAAACAAATAATTCGAGGTTCCCTGAAGCTTCGAAATACGGTTAACAATACGAAGTATAGAAAAGCAGAGCGACAAAAAGCTCCAAGACCGCGAACTAACGGTCGCCATTAAGCACGAACAACGCCATTCCCCGTGAGCCCTGCAAAAACTCATTATCAAACGCAAAATATCAATAACACCATTACGCGTTCGGGTAGGAAACACCGTCGGTGATCGGTCAATTTATTCTGCAAACGTAACAAATAGACCGGTGGGGGATTTCAGGTTCTGACACACGGTGAGACGTTATTGTGAGGCTATCAATGAACGAACACAAA